GGAAGGACCTCTCCGAGCCGTTTGATACCAAACGAGGTTTCAGACAATGGGGCTCCCTTTCGTGTGATTTCTTTAATCTGATGTTGGAGAAGATAATAAGAGCCGCAGAACTGAACCGCTCAGGCACAATACTTTACAAGAGCGTACAATTGCTGGCGTATGCCGATGGATGACATCGATATTATCGGTAAAAACAAGGGCTACGTCTGTTCTGCCTTCTCGGGATTGGATAGAGAAGCAAAGCGAATTGGTCTGGTGGTATCTCCTGTCATCACACAAACAGTCAGAGCATACGCGTCTTGGCACCCACATCACTGTTGACAGTTACAAGTTTGAAAAAGTAGATGACATCGTTTATTTGGGAACCAGCATTAACACCAATAATAATGTCAGCCTTGAAATCCAACGGAGAATCACTCTTGCCTACAAGTGCTACTTTGGGCTGAGTAGACAATTGAGAAGTAAAGTCCTCTCTCGTCGTACAAAGATCACACTCTATAAGTCACTCATGCCTGTGCTGGTGTATGGCGCGGAGGCATGGACAATGAAAGCATCTGATGAGGCGGCTCTTGGAGTTTTCGAGAGAAAGATTTTGCGAAAGATTTACGGACCTTTACGCGTTGGTGATGGCGAATATCGCAGACGATTTAACGATGAGCTGTATGAGCTTTACAACGATATAGACATAGTGCAGCGAATTAAAATTCAGCGGCTCCGCCATGTCGTTCGAATGGACAGAAACGCTCCTGCTCTGAAAATAACAACGCGGGCCGCGATGCTGGTAACAGAGGAAGAGGAAGGCCTCCTCTGCGTTGAAAAGAGAAGGACTTGGCTTCACTTGGCATTTCCAATTGGCGTCAGTTAGCACAGAAAAGAAATGACTGGCTTGCTGAGAAGAAGAGAATCGAATGCAGCCAGTTAGGGCGATGTTACGCGGACGATCATATGATTCACGGTCACGAATTGTTGTTGCTTTCACTGCACAACGAAAAAATTGAGAACGAGGAAGAGAACTGAGCCACATGACCAATCGGTTCAAATTTGACCAGCCGGCTAAGACCGAATCACTGATCAAACGAGGGTTGGCTTGTGAATACAATTTATTATTTGTTCCTTTTAGTAGCGAAATGGTGTATTTGTCATACTATTTCTCCATTTAGTACCAGAATGGTACATTTTTGCTGCAATGTATACAAAGTAGTACATATGTGGAATAAAATTAGTGCCAGCAACCCTTGTTTTGTTTGCTTTTAACATGTTGTTATACACATACATATACCGTTTCTTATTTTTTTTCGAAATTTCATAACAAATGTAATAAGTAGTAAAAAATAGACCAAAGAAATACAACTGAGACAAAGAAATAGTGGTCATTTGACTCTCTGCATAACAGCATTTTGGTCAAAGAGAGTAAGAATTGAAAAACATAAAGAAAAAGTGCCGTGACCAGGGATCATATCTGTATTCGTATGGAATAGTAGCTTATGTCGAAAGGCTGGCTTTACTATAATGCGGCATTCGCAGCATACGATTGCGAATGACTCCCTGGCGCCGAGCCGTTGAAGAACTTTTGGCAAATAAACGTGCAAGAAATATTTCCGATACTAGCAAGTCAATATTCTTATTAAATCTCATCAAAAAATTCCTTGTCGTTTAAAGAATAAAGAGTATGCCGCAATATACTAAAGCCAGCTTTCCGACATAAGCTACTATTCCATACGAACACTGATATGATCGTCTGCGTAACATCGCCCTTAGAAGAATGTGCTTGCAAAGAAAATAAGTTATGAAGAGTCAAAATAGCGTAAAAAGTTTTTAAAATTAAATCCTTGAAAAACTATACGCGATAAACCGAAAATTTTGAAAATTGTGAAAAGTGGAGTTACACACTTTTCGTTACTCGCCATTTAGTTATCTTTGAAAGCACACTTTAGTTACCAACTACATACAGTGGCGAACAAAAGTATTGGCACAGTGAATTTTTCGCAATATATGCAAAGTTGTTCATTCTTATTTATTTGCGATATTTTTTATAAAAATATGGTTCATACTGCGCCATAATACATAAAAATCAAATCTGCAAACTTTGTGCAAAACTCAGGAAAATTCAATAAATTGGCATACTAATTTGCAACTTTTTATTCAGATTTTTTAACAAAATTCTAAGAATGCAGTTTTATAGCCCATTCTAGGGATGTCAGTGAAGTGTATTTTTATTTATTTATTTATTTATTTGTTACAGTCTTGCGACTTAAAAGTACAGATAGGTATTTTTAATATATAACAAAGTATGCGTATATGTAAGTTTAAATTTTCAATTACAAAGCTGTTTATGTTTCTAAAACTATCGAATAACCTATATAAATGTATATTGTCTAACTAGTTTGGTAGCTGGCGAGGCCTAGTCTCCAGTCTACCTTTAAATATGTACTATGTGCAGCAGGCGGAAAGACCTTGTTTCCGCTCCGCGTTGCTCACGAGTTGATAGTCACGGTCGGAAAGGCCGAGTCTCCGATCCATGTTCCCGTCGTCATTAATATGCAAACCCTGACGCTGGATTCCGTGATGTGAGGCGGGCGGAAAGGTCTAGTTTCCGCTCCGCGTTATGGTCGGGCTGTTGGGCATAGTCGGAAGCTTTCGTATGCTAGATCATTTGCTGCTTGGTCGGATGGAAAGGCCTGGTTTCCATTCCGTTTCGTGCTCTCCTACCTAATAGCCAGAGTTTTACAGTGATCAAATAGTTGTCTTTTAAAAGCAACAAAGTTATCACAGTCTTTTACATGTGGCGGTAACTCATTAAAACACTTTAAACCTTTATAAAATATATTTTTTTTGTCTACCTCTGTTCTATAAAGTGGGAGTCTAAAGCAATTGTTTTCCCTGAGTATATATGAATGAGTTTCATTTATATACCGAAGATTGTCGCTCAGATAGTCTGGAAGTTTACCGTTCTTTATGTTGTATACGAATTTCATAGCATGATAGAAAACCTGTTGCTTAACACTCAACCAATTCATATCTGTGATCATCTCCTGTGTAGGTGTATCGTAACGCTTATTTAATATGAACCTCATAGCTCTATTTTGCATTTTTTGCAATTTCTCGATATTTGCGTCGCTTGCTAAGAAGAAGATTGTTGGGCAGTATATAAAATGTGGTTCTACTATAGATCTATAGACCAGGGTTTTATACCTTCTTCTCAGATACTTACAAGATCTTTTCATAAGACCAATTTTTTTCGCAATTTTGTTCACTGTATGCTCAACATGTTCATCAAATTTAAGTTTATTATCTATATATATTCCCAGGTACTTAATGAGTTTAACTTCCTCAATTTCTTCCTCTTTGATTTTTAAATTGTAACTGGTGGTTACAAGATTAACTGCTCTAGTGAGGATCATGAACTGTGTCTTTTTTACATTCAACTTAAGTTTATTTAAACACAACCATTTGTACAAAGAATCCAAGTCTTCTTGCATTTTAGTCATCGCAGTCTGTAAGTTTCTGTCACTGATCGTTTACAGTGTATCATCAGCGAACATTTTTAACTTACAGTGCTTGAGTGCCATATTTATGTCGTTAATGTAAATATTAAAAAGTATTGGGGCCAATACCGATCCCTGCGGCAACCCAATACTGACTGCCACTTTATTTGACACACTTGACTCGATTACAGTTTGTTGCATACGATCTGAGAGAAAGCTTCGAAACCAGTTAAGCTCCGTCTTTTCAATACCAATGCATTCGAGCTTTTTCAACATTCTTGCCCTGTCAATGGTCTCGAAAGCTCTTTTGAGATCAATAAAAACCGCAACGATATTCATCTTCGAGTTAAGCTCTTCCTTCCACTGGGATATAACAAAATTTAGCGCAGTCTCGCAAGAGTGTTTAGCTCTAAAACCTGATTGCTCCTTAATGAGTATGTTATTACTTTCAATGTGGCGCGCCAACTGATTTTTTACCACATTTTCCAAGATTTTTTCCATGCTAGGCAGTGTATTAATTGGTCTAATTTCCTCAGCTTTTACAGTTTTTTTCACTTTTTTTTACCGGAACTATGGTCGAGATTTTCCATTCTTTTGGTACTGTTCCTGATTCAAGACTCTTATTTATTAATAAGGCATAAAAGTGTCCCATGTATTCAACTGAATCCTTTATAACAGCGTCAGATAATAAATTATTTCCACCAATTTTAGTCTTAAATTTCTTCACTATAAGGATAACATCCTCTGAGGTAATTTTCTCAAATTTAAAGGTGCCTCGATTGTCTTCCTGTCGTAACTGTTCACAATTTACGTTCTCTATATTACTATTTATGTCGACGATACTATCCACAAAGTACTTGTTTAGTTCTTCGCCGAGATTACCATACTATTTCTGTATATTTTTCCGTTGATGAGAACTTCTTTAATATTGTCTCTGTTACCCGTATTATTAAGAATATTCTTTAAATATTTCCACATTAAACGACTATCACCTCTATTATTTTCTACCTTGGGTTCCATATACTGAATTTTCTTAATTTTGATCATTTTCTTATACTCTTATACTCTACCCAATCACCTGTGAGTACTGCCCTTTGGTGTAACCTAAACTTTTCTTTATTACTGTCAGTCAGTTGTCTATCATACCATTTATTTCTAAGTTTAACCCGCCTTTGTACCCGAGAAGTTAGTTGATTCATACTCGAAATCAAACAAAGGTTGATATGTTCGAGCATATCAGGTTTGCAAAGTTGCATTGTCTCAAAAGATTTATGAT